ATATTCAAATGAATATCCTCGCCGCTGCATAAATTGTCCAATTTTATTCGTGTTTTTTTTTTTTGCCGACTAAAACTACCAGTTCGTAATTTCGAGTATTGCATTTCTACGCTGAACACACAAGTGCAGCGAATTGCGAAAAAAAAAACAAAACAAATAACAATTGAAACAAATTCACAATACAATTACATAAATAAATCAAAGTGAAGAACAAACGAAACAAATTGAATTAAAAAGAAAACAAACAACCAGACTTGCGAATAAATAAATAAAGCGAATAGCGAAAAGCCACAAACTTTTCAAACAAACAACAAACTGCAAAAGAAATAAAAGCGTATATAGAACAACTAAGCTGAACAAATAAAAGCAGAAGCCAGTGGCGGCGTACCGGCGGAGTGATGGGAGATGGGCGTTGTGCCATCGAAACGGAGGGCTGTTCTAGGAACAAATGACGTCAAAGCAATTGACCCGCTTGTAGGCAGACCGAAAAATTTCTTTTTGAAATCACACTAAAATCATAAGCATACAACTGGCTCTTTAATCTCTAAATCAAATCAAAATTCTTAATTACTTATATATTTCACGGGGTTCAGTTTGAAGGACTGATAAATAATATAAACCGATTTTTACCACCGTTACTATTAATTCCAGGTCAGTATCTCTAAGAGCTCTTAGAGAGATGTAGTAGGTGGTGGCGGATTAATCTTTTTGAGGTTTTCCGAATTAGCAATACTTTTTTCGTTTTTTTTTTAAGAGGCCTTTAGCCCTTTATTCCCACCACATTTGGAACATATCTCTAGTCTCCATCACCATAACCGTCCAGTGCATTGCGGCCATTTTAAAGTGTGTACATAGTTCGCAGCACACATAGCTGAAGAAACGTTACGCGCACTTTACGCCCGAGCAATAATTCACACTTTGGTGCAACCTCTCAACCCGGCGGCAGACAAAAAATATGTTTATTGTTGTTGCTGTTTTTTTAGTGCTCCAATATTTTACATTTGTTGCTATTGTAGTTGTTGTTACAACCATTGCTGCTGGGTTTTAGTCGCAGGCATTTTTTGGTGTAGTTTTAGTTTTAGTTTTAAGCGCCTCCTTCGGCACTTCGCTGTTTTTTTTTATTCTCGTTCGTGAAACACAAATATAAAAACACTTACTCCTTAATACCCTGTAAAAGTTGTGCAACTAGTCTCTAAAGTGACTATACCCGGATTAGTCTCCACGGCATATGATTGGACGTTAATGACGCTCACCTAGTGCACTCCTTTTACAACTAGAGATTGTACACGATAGTCCTCGACTCACCACTTACGGATGAAATTGACGCTTAGAAGGCGGAGCAATCGCCTAGCAGACCAAAGGATGGCAGTTGGGGTCTCATCTGACGAAATTTTTTAATATAGTCAAGTTGCACTCGTACTGGTATCGTGTCTTTCTAAAGCATGCTCGAATAAACGGGATCCCATATAAGAGACCGAGGTCATACCGGAACAGTCCCACTTTTTGTTTTCGCAGATGGTTCAAAAAGAGGTTGGAAGCATTTTATAGCAACACATTTTTTCATTGTTTAATAAGCTTATAACTGCTGTAGCTTGTGTAGAAAAACTTAGGTGAAGAAACAGCGGATAGATGAGTGAGAATCTGGTAAAAATTAGCCGAAACACGCACCATTCTCGTGCATAAAAAAAACAGAAAGACATATGGCAAGATGTTCGAAAACTTTGGTAAGTCCAGATCGTCTTGGAAAAAAAGCTCTCTCATTCACCACTCGCGTAGAAGAGCTATTTGGAGAGAAAGAACTTGTATATTATTTAGCTCGCGTCACTCCAACAGTCGCAATGGACGAGTAGGCAAAGCACTGGTGTGCCAATCGAGATATCCGAGTTCTAGTCATGGTGAAGCAGATTTTTTTTTCATTTTTTTCATCTAGTTTTAAAAAGGAAATATATTTTTTTTTTGATTTAATTGAATTTTTAGAAACCTATTTTATGTATTTTTTTCTTGTTTGAATTTTCGTTAATGGTTTGGTTTCAATTGTTTTAAAAAGAATATTTTTTTTTAAATTTAATTCGTTCTTTTTGAAATACATTTTTTTAGGTTTTTGGTATTTTTTAAGTTTAAGATTTCATTGTTTAAAAATATAAATTTTTATTAATTTAATTTACTTTTCAGAAGTATCTAATTTAATTTTTAAGTACTATTTCCTTCTTTTTTGATAAATTTTTTCTTTTTATAATTTAATTTTTATTTCCTAATTTTTATTTTTTTAAAAGGAAAACATTTGTGTTTTTTTAATTAATTTGACTTTACAAAAACGTATTGCTATGAGGAGAACAGCATAACGCTTAAGACCTCATCATTAGCAGATTTTTCAATTAGTCTTTCGAAAGACAGTAAAGAGCGTTGAAGATAGTTGCCAGAATTGACAATTGTCTCACGAAAAACTTTTGGTGAGTTGAAAGACAGTTGCCAAAATCGCCCTATTAGCCTCAATAAATAGCCAATTAGCTACACTGCTGGGCTGCTGCTGTCTTTTTTTCGTCCGAACTCTTCTACTTTTTTGTTCTTACCAAATAACGCCGAACGCTACGAACATTAGATACTTCACTGCACACTGCCCGTTTCAAGCAGCACTGGTTGCAATGGCACAGCAAACTTTGAATAAATATTTTTTTTTGTACATCAACAACTTTATCAGCGTATTGGTGTTGGCTTTAATCTGTATTTGTGTGCCTGCAAGCACAGATAGTACATGAGCACACACACATAAGCACAAACCAACATATCCACACATTCATAAATATTGTTTTGGGCGTATTTGCGCTGTTTGGCTTTGTGCATCCTGTACATCCTCCGGAATGTATTGTGGTTTTGCACTTCCTTGCAAGTGTTGTAGTTGTAGTTGTTTTTATATATGGCCTTAGTTTCTGCTTTTGTTTTGGTTTTCTTGTTGCAATTCTTTTGTGTCGGCGCACATTTATCTTGTATTAAAACTATTTTTGCTACAAATTTTGCGCAGATTTTTGAAATTGCTACCAAATTTTCACGCCAGCAGCCCATTAGCGTGCGAGACGTACGCTACTCCTTCAACCATACAAATATATACTATGTATATCAAACTATATCGCTGTCCGCTGTATATACGCTTGTAACTCCTCTTGTTTCGTTTGTTTTAGCCATCGTCTTTCCTTACTTCTTGCTGCCCTTTCTTCCCTGCGCTAGAGAGGCCAGAAATTTAACATTGCTTTCGAGCTAACACTCTGTACATAGTTTTTTTCAACTCTTTTTTCCTGTTGTTTTTTAATTGCTTTTTACTTATCGGTTTCCTTTCTTCTCTTTTTGCAGGATTTACGAGTCCGCTCCATGGTCGGTGGAGGCCTGGGGACGTCCGTTGGAGAGCTTTGCTTTGGCAACGACAAGACTGGCTGGCGCTGGCAATAATTCATCTTTGAATGTAAGTGTTGCAATTTATTCCCTCACTTTGTTGTTTTAGTTTCGTTTTTTTTTTTATTCGCGTCCACCAAACGGGTTGCCTACGGTTGGTCTGTGTCTAAGTACAGATCTCTCAAGAGCGATAAATTCAAGCGAGAGGCATATGCTACGTATAAATACAGCGAAACGGATACAAAAGGCGACTGGCAGGAAGGAAATGCTCGCTATTGTTTTCGTTAATTAAATGGGGTTCGGTATTTTTGATAATTTTAAACAATACCCTCCGATAGCCGTACATACATAAGTACAAAGGTATACATGGATAGTGTATGTTCATATATACATTAGGGTGTCTCAACAAAAAAGGTTGTGGGTTTTTCAACGGAATTATAAAATTTATTACATCATATATAATACATATTGAGATTTACGTGAGCTGGAACGATTTGAAAATAACTCAGAAAATCGATTTTTTTTATCTAAAATCAGTTTATAAATATGTGTATGTTTTCCAAAAAATTACCTCGTATGATAGAGGAGTTTAAGCTTGAAAGGTCTGTATAAAAATGTTTAAGAGTTGTTTCAATGGAAACAAAATATGTACATAGTGTGACTTTTGGACGTATTTTCAAATCACTGCAGCTAACGTCAATCGGAAGTTTTAAAATATAATACTCTTTATAATTCCGGTTGGAAATCTGTACCATTTTTTTTATGTAGAGTGATGCTGCCCAATATACATATATACATACATACATAAATAAAATCCTTAAAATATATTTTTCCATAATTACAAATGAATGTATATGCAACCGACTCGGATGGCAGCTCAGAAGCATTATTAACCCTAGCACTCATAGGCAGATAAAAATCTGTGTTTCCAAAGAATCGGGCTTTTTGGTTTGTGAAACATTTTTTTCTTTCAAAGAAAGAAAGTCTGTAACTCTGATCATTCTGCATATATAAAATTAAAAGGGTTAACGAGTCGAACACGAAGGCCTATCGCTTCAAAGGATTAAAGAGAAGTGCTCACAGAAGATCCCTTAATTTTTTAATCATAATTAGTAAATAAACTCTTGATCCCTTCAAGTATGAATAGAGGGATCACAGAACAACCAAAATTTTTTACGGATAAAAAATCGAGTTGACTCACATAATTTTGCCACCTTACGATTTGGCGAATTTACCGAGCTAAGGGCATTTCTTCACGAGCCCTTTCAAACCACTCACGCTATGGCAGAGAATTACTTACCGATCGTTTCATGATGATCAGAGACAGCTTTTACTCTGTGTGCGTCCATATAAATTTGGGTGAGAGCTTTAAAGAATTTTGCCCGCAGACGCTGTTTTGAGCATCACTTATCTACATTCATATTTATGTATATAATTCGTATGTATGGAAATTTGGACTCAAGTATACGATAAGCGAACTTTTTGTTGTTTCGTTCCAAGAACAAGCCTTTCACGGGTATATATCTCCGTATTGGTATGTTATTAAAGAACTGATCACTGTGAGACTAATCTTCATAGTATTAGTAATTTCGGTACTTGTTCGCCTAAATAAACGTTTTAAGACTAAAATTGTTCAAATATATATTTGATTTATTTTTTTAAATAAATGCAAGAAGAATGCTTTAGCGTTTTTTTTTTTTGTTCCGAGAGAAGGGAGTCACACTAGGAAAACAAATCGTGAGAATTCTCAACTGGATGAAACGAACGACTAAAAGTAGAACTTGACACGAGGATTTTTAGATGTTCAGTGCTTTTACGGTTTTCGGCTTGTATGTCAGAATTCCTGAAAAACATGGTGGAAAGTTCCACCTTAAGATTAGCGACTGATGGCTGGTTGAGGTTTTCGCCTCGTCGTTCGCAGTCTGTAGAGTGAAAGTACCTGATCTGCGTGCGCGGTAACGAGCTAAATAAATTTTTTTCTAATACTCCCAAGAGCTTTTCTGGCTTCATCTGAGAGTGGAGTTACTGACAAATATTTTTGTATATCCGACCTAACTTGACCCTTAAGAGATTAAGCCTTCTTAACTGGATAGTCATTACTGCGGTTCTGCAGCTTTCAAATGCCTCCAAGCAGTGCTCTTTGTCACAGCAAGCCAAACTTGCGAATTTGATGTCAAAGCGGCTAGACATCAATGAATCACTAAAAAAAAATCTTGGCCGTTTCATTCAGTGCTATTTTCTGTTAAAGTTTAGCTAATCTTTTATCTCTATCTAATTGTCTCTCCATTCGAATATCCTCTTTTTCAGGGTCAACAAACGACTGTTTTCTGTGTGCGTTGTGGCACCACCCGTGGCGTACTGGTCTACTGGCTGCGCTCGGAAACGCATCGCGACATGGCCGCGTGGGCACGCGCCCTCGTACAGGGTTCCCACAATGCCGTCAACTATCAGCGAGAGTTCTCGTTTCGCTGCCTCTACCAGGGCAGACAGTGTCAATTGGTTGTGCATTTGAATCGCGGGTTCTGTCTTTACGACTGCAGTGGCTATGCGGTGGCGGCGGCGGCGGCTGTAGCGGCAGCGGGTGTGGTTGTGCCGCCTAATCAGACAAAAACTCAGCTATGGCAATTTCCGTTCGACAAATTAAAGGGCTCAGCGGACGATGGCATACGAATGCTGTATTTGGATTTTGGCGATGATGGAGAAATTGTGAGTATTACTTGATTATTTTAAAATAGTTTCTTACAGCAAGCAGATAGTAAAACAAATCTCGCGTACGATAAAAAAATATTTCTTTCTACATAAAGGTTTAAAGTTGTTATGTACTGTATTATTACTTTAAATTTCCAATTTTCCTTCACATCTTTCGCTTGTTTCCGTTTTTCCTCAAGGCTTGATTCTTCTTCGCTTAGCTCCAGGAATTTGAAGTTAATTAAATTTAATTAATTTTCATTTCATTTATACTTGATTTCCTTTGAGTTAATTTTGCATTTCGAGCTGCCGCTCATGGCAGCGCTTCCTTCCCATTTCTGCTCTTCAACTCAACAGCACTTCCTTTTCTCATCACGCGCCGTGTGCCATTCATTGCTCAACAAAGTGAAACGCATTAAATTTTCAATTAAAATTTCACACAACGCGCGCGCCCAGCGGCCCCAGATGTCAGGCAACTGTAAGCAGCGCTGTTAGTTGTTATCACCAACTACAACAACGTGTCCATCTCAATTCAGTCACTGTGGCGTTGCTTGCTAGGATGTTGTTGTAGGCTGCGTGTGAACGTTGTTGTTTTGGCACATATTCGCCCTATTGACAGCCTGCCTTATATGACATGCTGACCTGCTGGCTGCGCCTGTCCCCTTAACTCGCACTAGTGGCCAACTTTGTGCTCGTCAATGTCATAATCAATGAATGGCTTCTTTTCTTCAATGCGCCAACGACTACGTATTCTACCCAGTAAAGCAGCGGCAGCGTCTCTACGACCCACAGTGGCTTATTTCCCCTTCCGCGCCTCCTCGACAGGCTCTCACCGCTACGCTGCCTTTGCTAACGTAGCAATTAATTTTAAGCTAGCATTTACTTCGTCTGCATTTATTTACCTTTGGAGAGCTGTTTCTGCCGCTGCTTTCAGTAGCTGCTAAGTAGGGTTGCCAACATTTTCTAAGAAATTTATAGTACTTTTTCACAAAAATCTGAAAAAATATAGTACGCTTCAAATATATATAGTATTTTTTTTTAAGAAAAAGTAAAAATGCTTTTTAAGTGAACATATTTTTTCTTTCTTATGCATTTTCTCTATAAAAAAATATATTTCTTTGAAAATATCATATGCGTTATCGCTATCAATAATTAAATTAATATAAACAAAAGTTCATTCTTTATTAGTGAGATATTCGCTTTATTTCTCTCATCTCACCATTTCAAAATCTTAATAGAAAAAACTCTTTCTGTGAATGCCGAAGTTGCAGGAATGGAGAGCATAAGTGAAATCATTTTAAGTAAATTTGGTAAATCTTTCTAAGTATTTTTAAAAATGATGGCATTTTTTATCTGTGGGCCCTTTGTTTTAAAGTATATTTATTTTAGTTTGATATTTCAGTGTAAATGTCATCCATTTTAAAACATTTGTTTCTTACAAATGACTGAAATATATTTATATTTATAATTGAAGAAATATAGTATTTTTGCATACTACATATATTTTTTCCCAACAGTATATAGTACGCAGACCCAAAAAATAGTACAATACTATATATTATAGTACGGTTGGCTACCCTCCAGCTAAGTGAAGGAGGTGGCAGGTGTTGCTGCTGTTACACGTTGAGGCGCGCTGCTGTCAGCTGTAATTAAAGTACTCCCCACCAGGGATGGAAAAGTAGGTACAATTGTACCTTTTTCCGACTGTTACTAACCAAAAGGTACATTCGGTACACTGAGCTCAATTTAGGTACAATTACGAGACTATGTTGCTCGCAAAAAAAAAAATTGAAAAATTTTTGTAAACAAGGAACATTGTGAACATGTCATTGTGGCAACAAGAAATCTTAGCAAAGTGGCCAAGTTCCTTCATTAAATTCTTTGTGAACAGTGAAAAACTCCTCACGTTTGTAGGGCTTTCTAGTGAAGTGGCTACACTGCATGTGTGTGAATAGAAATTGTGAAAGAGTTGGAAGTACGGAAGAAGCAAATAATAATTACAAGCGGAAATATCTGTAATCTGAATATACTTGCTACGATGGAAAAGTAAGTCAAATTTGTAGTAAAATATAAGTTCAAGATGGCTTGTCCACGAAGTGGCACATTACGTTTTGTATGAAAGGCCTGGTTTACAAAATAGACCCAAATGATTTATGTATGCAGTGCAATCAAGGCCAAATAGAAAACCTCGAGCATCTGCTCTTCAAGTGCCCAATTAATTATTCCTTTAGGGACTAATACCTAGGATTCTGCAAAAAAAATTAATAATAATAAAAAATCTGCATAAAAAACATTTAAAAGTCTTTTCAACGGAATCATAATAATGAGATTTTTGATGCTGTTTTCGTACTTTTTCCAAAGATTGATTTACGTAAAACTTGAATAACTTTCTGTCAAAAGAAAATCATTCGTGTCCGATTTATTTATTTTTTTCAAATACCAACACATCTTAATTCAAATTTGAATGAAGTTCGTTCATCCTACCTTCCTCCTGCAACCTTCGAACGAGTTTATTAGCAAAGAAATAAAAAGGGTGAGAAAATACCTTTCCAATGACACCTCACAAGTCTAAATCAGAAGAGTTTAGGTTCAGTTATTCAAGTTTTTCTTAAACCAATCTTTGAAAAAATTTGAAAAACAGCATCAAAAATGTCATTATTACGATTCCGTTCAAACTTTTCTTTAATTTTGAAAAATATTTTTATGCAAATTTTTTAAGCTTAAACCATTTTCTCATTTGAGAAGATTTTTTCAAAAAAAAAATCTTTAAGAAACCATTTTTATCCCTAAAAAACTTAATTTTTGGAGGTATTTTCAAATCGGTCCAGCTCACGTAAATCTTAATATTTTTTTCCGAAATATTTTGGTGGAAACACAGTACCGATTTTATTTTGTATGGGCAGTGATGCAGTCTAATATACATACAATATATTTCATGGGAATTATCATTTAATCAAATTTCGAAAAAAAAATATTTTTGCGGCCATTCGTTTTCAATTTCGAGAAATGAAGTCGTTCATGAGAATTTGATGATCTAATTTATCAACTGCTTCTGGATAAGAATGCAATATTGCTACATGCTTGAGCCGTTTTTGGTGCATTGGCGAGCGCAAATAAGAAAGAAAAGCTCCTCTCGTTAGAGCTCGGCGACCCCGGAATTGTAACCACGGTTACCGTTTTGGCCGAAATGTACCATTTTTGGTAAATTTTTTTCAGTTTGGTACACAGGTACATAACTTTCAGAATTGGTAAATTTTTTTAATCTGGCAAAATGAGAAAATTGTTACTTACATCATATACCTATTTAAAGGTCAAGCCTTTGTGCTATTACGGCAAGACATTGTCTAACTCAGGTAATTGAAAAGGCATTGCTGTATAAGCAGATAGCCCACTACGGGTTCCTTGGCATTCAAGAAAAATCCAAAGGCATGACAAGAATGTATTTCTAATGTAATAACAGCATGGTGAATCCAGAGCTATAATATCAGAATAAGGAGGCGTTAGACTTGAGATCCTAAAAGGTCCGGGGTTTTACATATAAGCTACTCACCGTCGTCGTAGGCTACAATGAAGGAAACATTGGCTCTAGATTCCAGGCAACTTTAAACAGACCAAACCAATTTTGACAAGGGATTACGGAAAATCATAAATAAATTCACACAATACTCGGAAAGTATAGCTTAAACTTTTTTTGGTAAATTTTTTGCATTTTGGTACACGTTTTGGTACACAAAAAGATGGGTAAGTGGCAACCGTGATTGTAACAAGTAATCTAATCAAGCGTACATATTCAGGAAAAAGTCCCACACACAATTCGTTTTCACGCACAATATCTTTCACAGATCCTGGATAATTATGCACAGAGCCATATCTTTATCGCTATTGAGTCTGCATCCGTCAAAATGACCATTATAAAACGTAACGATTTTCTCCAAAGCTACTGTCTCACCAAGAATGAAATTTTCTAAAGTTTTATAAAACTTGGTCAAAAATTTTTAAAATATCTTCCGAAAATACTCTTCAGGTAGGGTTAATACAGGATTTCAATTGGATTGACTTTTCTTCTAACACATTTTCAGGTGGGTAATTAGACACCATACTCACGTCTTCCGCCGCCCCTGCCTAGGACCACTTCTAATAGAGTTAGAAAGCAACTCAATGTATATATTCCATTTGACCGATCAGTTCAGAAAACCTGCTGCAGGGATAAATAAAAAAAAAATGAATTAATGTTTTTAAATGTTTTGTTTTTATTAAAAAATATATATTTTTTTGTGGCTTTATGAACCCTATAGTCCAAAACTGTTGGCATTAATACTGTAATGTATATGCCAGGTTATTCAAGGGACTTTAGGAAATCCGTTGATTCTTTAGGTCTCCCGCTTTTGCAGGGGCCCTTCCTTTGGTGCTTTTCGCTGTGACATGTTTGGGTGGAGATGCTCGGGTGCTTTTAACAAAAAGATAGATACACAATACAGATACAAAGACGAAACGATTACATTGAACATACAATTCCTCTAATGCAAAAATATTTGCATTGAACATACAATTTTTCCTCTTTTATTTATATATGTACATCGAGATGTAACATAGTTTACACGTTTGTAAGAGCCAGTGGCTTGTCTTTTACAATTGAACAAAACAGATCATATATAAACATAACATAACGATCGGTCCTATGAGTTTACCGTTTTTCTTTTTTAAACTCAAGTTTTCGTAGAAATGGTATAGAATTCTTGAAAATCAATATTTTTTCAATCGGAAAACTTTGCTTCTCTTTAGGAGATGGCCAATAATAATACCCAACTGTTTATTTTACCATTTTTATTTTTTGGGGGATTTAGGGGTCCTATAAGAAATAGTTAATAATAGAAAAAGGTTAAGGGAATAATTGGGTAATATTAATGCAAATCTCCAAAAGAAAAATAAAGTTTTCCGATCGAGAAATATTAATTCTCTAGAATTCTATACCATTTCTACGAAAACTTGATTTTTCGCCATATAAAATAACTGGAAAA